GAAAAAGCCTATTATCTTGCTATTACAGGTGATGAAAATGAGGCTTAGCAAAGTTAAATATCTTGCCTGTGGTCACAGAGCTAAGTAGTGACTGGGCTGATATTTGAGCTCAGATGTGTCTGACTCCCAAGCCAATTTTTCTACTCCTCCATTCTCTTGTGGAGCTTTGCCCTCATATTTCTTGGTTCTCAGACCCCAGTTGTTTCTGCACCTTCTCTGTTAATACTTGCCAGGAGCACCTGTTGCTCAAAAACCTGCTTGGACAAGTCTTCTGGCTCGACCTCGACTCGCTCCTTTGGATGAATTTTTGGTGTTAGCCCTGCGGCCCCACGCACCAGGGTAAGAGAGACTCTCACTTCCTGCCCTGGCCCGAGGGACCGACTGGCTGGGCCTGCCTTCTGCCCAGCTCACTGGTCATGGAAGAAAGTTTGGACACACTCTACTCTTTCCCCATGAAGAAAGTGTGCAGAACCCAGTGTTCCTGTCACTGGAGATTCCAATGACTAACGTGGCCCTGGGGCTGGATTAGGGTCTCGACTCATATGTCAGCTAGAAAGCTCTGTTGTGGTCACCAGCTTCCTCTTTCCCTGTCAAGTTTCTGGCACCTCACAGCTCTTGGACACAGGGTGGTATCATTGCAGTGAGGAGGAAGCAACATACCTTCAACAGCACAGTTACAGTAGTGGAATTAGATTGATCTATGTGAAAGAGCATTATAAATGTATTTAAAACTTGTTATGTTGGAAATTTCTTTTCTAAAAAATCAAGAAGTCTTTCTGTGGTCTCAATAACCTACCTAAAGTAATGGCTATTTGACTTTCCAAAGTGAAAATTGCCTGCCACAGTGGAGTTTGCTCACCTGTCCTTTGTCAACCAGAAATCTCCAGTCCCCAGAACTTTTGCAGCCTTCAATACTGTGACAGTTGAGTCCCAAGATCAGAACTATAAGGTGTCCTGCAAGACTCCCACGTATGCTACGTCCTTGGAGTGATAGATTATACTGTCTAACATTGTTAGCCTACAACCAGCTTTTTAGTTTACTGTGATTCCTATGTGGCCAATATTTCTTAACCAAGATTACCTGGAAGGGTAAACATTAAAAAAAAGGCATGGTGGCATGGACTTGTAGGTCCAGCTACTCAGGAGGCTGAGGGAGGAAGATTGTTTGAACCCACGAGTTTTGAGACTCTGTCTCTTTAGCAAAAAAATAGTGATTATTTAATAAGCTGACTTGATTTCATAATTTCTATTAAAGATGTAATAAATCTTAAGTAAATTGGAGTTTAGGAGTGTTGGGGAAAGAAAGCGATATGCCTGTTGAACTACCTGGCCTGTGTAATGTAAAATGAGGGCTTATAGGAGAGAAAGGTTCAGGTCTCTTCTTGCTCTAACATCCTGTGATTTTTTTAAGTAGCTAGAATGATGTAATTTCAGAGATATAATACATGTAGACTTTGGGAATACTCTTATTTGCCTAATTAGTTGTTAAGATCAAGTATCTATGGAAACAACTTCTCTGTAGTATTCAAGATAGGAAATTTATTCTTTTTACTCTGCATGATGAATACAATGGTGGGTGCAGTGCTCCTTGTATGGTGGCTTCTTATAAGAATTGCAATAAATATTGAGTTTCTTATGGCTGTGAGAGAAGCAGAATGTATACTTGTTCCTTCTTGCTCCCTTGAGCTAACTTTCAAAACTCTTGGTCTATCCCCACAAAAACCTTATAATTTCCTTCTCAGATTATTGTTCCACATTTGAATGTTGAAAGTAATTTCTCACCAATGGTTTTATGATCTCAAATGCATGTTTATTTTGAAAACCTTGTCCTGTATTATTTCTGTCTTAAAATTCAGGTTTTAACATAATAATTTTCCATTTTTTGTAATAATGTTTCTCTGTTACTATGAAAATTCTCAGAGGCAAGTGGTGGATTTTTTCCACTATGAATGTGTGTTCCCCACCCCTAGCAGAAGACAGTTTCTGGGACATGGTTAGGTTCCCTGGAAGCTTTATTTTTTTTTTTAATTTATAGAAGTTTGATAGCTTGCGCAAGGAGTAAACAAAGCTTTTTTTTTTTTTTTTCCTGGTAATTGAATCAGAAGATGGAGAAAGATCTTGTTTTTTAAAATTTTCTGTTGTTTGTTTTCCTTAATGTTGCCAAAATTATAATCTGGTATTCCAACATTTCTTAACTGAGGAAAGTGACATTGCAGGGTTTTTTCAATTTAACCATGTATTTTTTTTCCATTTAACTCCTTGCATGTACTATTTGCTCTTTATTCTCACATTCTTTTTTCCAAATAAACATTTGAGTCCTTAATTTTACCTGGCAACATAAGGACATAGGATTATCTTGGTGACTGAGGCAGGAAAATTTTCTGCCCTGGTAGGGCTCACTGACTAGGTGAGAAAACCGACAAGTCACCAGATGGTCATAGCACAGTGTGGAGCACACAGAGCAGGTGAGGTCTCCATATCAGACACAGATATCAGAGAAAGCTTCTCAGAAGTGACAGGTGAACCAATACCTGAAAGAGAAGCAAGTGTTAAAGCACAGGGATCAGAAAGGGGAAGACATCTAAAGTAGAAGGAACAGTGTGTGCAGAGATGTGAGGTACCTGAAGTCCTTGCAGAAAGAAAGCTAAAACCTGGTTTTATTCCCTCTTGGCTCCAAAAATCAGATTTCAAAGAAAACGTTTGCAATGTCTTGCCTTCAGTATAGCTTTACTGGCTTAAAACCAGGACAGTGTAAGTCCTAGGTATGTTTATGAACACAGGGCAAATCTTTCTTCCCTGGAGGAGTAAGTTGGGCATTGCATGAATTTCACCAATAGATTATGTTCATTAACATCCCCTTGGTGCTCAGGGTTACTACCTACACAAAGAATCACTGATGGGAAATAATGTAGAATCCAACTTTTCTTTGAAAAAAGCTTCTCTTGACACAGAGCAGGGACACTGTGAGCTGAGGCATGCAGGGAAGACAAATGCAGAATGTTTATTTCTGGAAGCAGCAGCAGCTCCAGCCTGGCCCGTATCCTGTGTTTCTTTGGAACCCTTTAGAAGTGAAGACTGATTTCTGAGCTTTGAATGTTTTGTGACCCACATTTGGTCACAGATACTGTGGACTCTGATGATCAGTGACCACCCACATGGGGAGTGGGTGAATCTGACTCTGGAGTCTTGGGGCATCAATGGTTTGTCTTGAACAATGGTGGTCAGCTATGGTTCTGCCTCCTGTATAGGGGATAATGTCTACCTGAGGGTTGTGTCGTTGTGTGATTGCATGGGTTTTGGTGATCATTCCTCTCTCCAAAACTACATTGTGGGGAAATAAGGGCTATGATCATTCATAATGGGAAAATTGTTAATGGCATATCACCAGGAAATCCCTATAGGCCATGGGTTTAAAAGGTGGTCTGCAAAGTATCCTAGAACAGAGCAGCAGCAGCCCTTGGAAACTTGTCAGAAATGTGAAATCTTGGCCTCACTGTAAACACGTTGAATCATAAACTCTGGGTGGGGAACAGAAATTGGTTTTTTTATAGCCCTTGGGTGATTCTGATGCATGTGGAAGTCTGAGAACTGCTGGGTAAATAAGACAGGCTGCAGGTAACAGTCAAATCCTGTGGCTTGTGTTGGCTGGCTGCAACTTCTACAACTTTCTCTCCACTCAAGAAAGTATATTGGATGGTGGTGAGGATTTAGCTCAGTGGTTCCGCCTCCTGCCTCACAAGCGCAAGGTCCCAAGTCTGATCCCCAGTACCAAAAAAATTTTAAAAAAGTATATTGGAATGCTAGTGAGTCCCAGGGATGTCATTATGGGGACAGGGTTAATTTGCAGAAGTTTATTAAAACATGTAAACTTTGGTATTTTAATTTTTATATTTTAATAGTGTATAACAAAAGTCACAATGGGGATATGACAATTAAGTACTGCAGTATCAATGTAGCCAAAGCAATGGATTTCCTTTTTTTTTCTCGACAGTTCCCTGCAGTAAGAAACACATATAAATTGTTATCCAGAAGACACATTTAAGTGTGTATAATCAAAACAAATGTTTCATGAAATAAGACCTTTACTATGATTTTTTCTGCATACCATTTTATTAAAAGTATAGTGGTTGCTGTCCATTAAATTGATTTCATGACTCACTAATGAAATGTGACCTGCATTTTGGCAGGGAGGCAGTGAGCTGTGTTTGCAAGGACTGTGGACCCTATGTTCAGAGCAAGAGGGGTGCAGGGCCAGCATTACCTTTGTGTCTGGTGGTCTTGGGTTTCAGTTTGTGTGGTCACTCTTAGCTGGGGGGCTTTGAGCCATGTACATGTGTTTTCTGAGCTTTGCTTTTCTCATCTGTTAATGTGAATGATAATATCTACCTCATGGGGTTGTGGTGACAAGCAAATGATAATACACTTCACATGGTGCTTGACAGTGGTACTGCTACCTTGCTTGTGGGCATAGAGCTGTTAGCACTATTTTTCAGAGCATCATCAGTTAAATTAATTTTGTGATAACCACCGCAAAGCACTGCTTCACAGTTTTTTTCCTGTACTGAAGTAAATAAGAGCCCCTGTAGTCCAGGCATTTAGAAATACTTTTGAACAGTAATTTTATCTTTAAAAATGTATCAAAATTCTTCACTTTTTTCAAACTATATTCAAGTCTATTTGATATAAAATTTATCTCCCCCCCAAGTCCTTGAGGGTACTTGAGATTGCAGAAGATGCCTTAAGTGGCTTCATTTACCCACAACATCACCCTGAGTGGCCATCTGGGAAACATGGACCTTAGATTGTATTTCTGTGGGAAGACTTTTCTTGAATATTCTGATCTTTTGGTGACTAGGGGCAGTGTCTCCATGCAGGTAGCTCTGTAAACTAGCAGATGACCCAGAGACCCTGGCCATAAGCCTATGGAAAAGCCAGGCACTGTTTACCCATTAATCCAGATGCTGGGGATATCCAGCTAACGTCCACTTGTCTTTCTGGAGGTCATGATTGTGGTTGGTGGCCAGGCGCCCAAAGCCATCCGCAGCGTGGAGTGCTATGATTTCGAGGAGGACCGGTGGGACCAGATTGCTGAGCTTCCCTCCAGGAGATGCAGAGCAGGTGAGCAGCACTGTCCCCAGCTCTGGAGCTGCCTTTCCCTGCCTGGTCTCTGCTCCATGTGGGTAGTCACACACTGCTCCTCCTTTCCTCAAACATCTGTATGTTTCAGGGTCCCTTCCCTTCCTGGTCTAGACAGTTTTTGGGTTCCCCTTCTGAGGTTATTTCTTACATGCTTGGAAGTTCAATCTAATTCATGTATTTGCTTGAATTAAGCAAAATTAGAAATGCAAATAGGAAAAGAAATCCAGTGAGTACCATAGTAGGACTTCCAGATACATAAAGTTGGAGGTTATCTTTGTGGTGAGTAATTTATGTGCCTGCCTTTCTCCTCTGTTGGCGTCTATCAGCATAGATAGTCACCCACCTGACCTGACCTTTGGGCCTTGGTTTCCTGTGCCTCAGGTGTGGTGTTCATGGCTGGCCACGTGTATGCCGTTGGCGGCTTTAATGGCTCACTGCGTGTGAGGACAGTGGATGTGTATGACGGTGTGAAGGACCAGTGGACGTCCATCGCCAGCATGCAGGAGCGCCGGAGCACACTGGGTGCAGCGGTGCTCAACGATCTGCTCTATGCGGTGGGAGGCTTTGACGGCAGCACTGGTAGGTCCAGGATGCGTTCCTATCCCTCCCAGTCTGGAATGCCCCCTCCACATGGTCTTGTTCAGCAGCCAGTTCTCTGACTAATCTCTGTCCTTGTGCAGCCCACATGTTAGCTGCTTACTGTCATGATAATGAACCGGTGGAGATAGTTAACTTAAGAAGAGATAGGCAACTTAGAAACTTACTTGGCTCACAGTTTTGGAGGCTCCAGTCCACAGTTGATTAGCTGCATTGCTATAGGCCTTTGGCAAGGCAGCACATCCTTGAGGGAGTGCAGGGCAGAGCAATCCTGCACACCTCATAAGGCAGAAGGCACAAGGGAAGAGGAAGAGCCTGGGGTCCCACCACCCCCTTCAAGGATGCCCCCCATGACTTAAGGGCCTTCTCCCACAGGCCCCACCATCACCCAACAGCACCACCCTGGGGACCAGATTTAGCACACGGGCCTTTATGGCATTCAGGATCCAAACTGTCCTCTTTCCTTGCCCAGGTTTTGAGGCCAGAGGCAGAATGCTGTAGTCACAGAATCCGTTAACTACCCATTGAGTGGACTCTGGAGGACCCCGCACTTGGAAGTGACCCTTTCCCACAGTCCAGTGTCTGGCAGTCTGTTGGCTCAGAAGTTGAGCCTTAGGAAGACAGCATGCTTAGTGGGAGCACGCTGAGCACTCTAGTCCAAGCCCTCCGCTGAGCAGACGAGATTGAAGGGAAGGGGCCAGGCACTGTCCTCACCACGGACAAAACTGTCCACTGTGACACTGTCCTTTTTGCTGCCCCTGGGCCCTGGGAGGCTCTTCCACAGTGGGGCCTCCCTCCTGGATCCTCTCTGGCTTCTCACAGTCCCAGTCTGAACTATTAGTGGACATGGACTCAGATGATCTCATTGCTACTCTTACTGCTGGGTAGATATCTGTTAGACTGTAACTCTATTAAACCAAAATGTCAAATAGTATTCTTTTGTCCTGGGGGTGGTAAAATACAATATTCTTTACTTCTCTGAATTTTCATTTGTGTCTTCAGAATTTAATCATATTTATCAGTCTTTTTTTGCCTTGCTGAGTCCATGGTCTTTGGCCACTGTGGAGGTTGTATTTATTGAGCAAGACCTAGGAATGAAGAGAATGAAGGGTAACATATTGTCTCACTTAGGGCTTGGTGTTGGCTATAAGTAGAAAGCCTGACTGAACCATGTCAGTAAAAGTGAAGGATTTTATTTTAATAATGAAGAAGAAAACCAGATGTCAGCACTTTCTGACTTTATCTAATTACTTAAGGATATGAGAGTTAAGTTCTTTAGGATTCTCTTGGACTTTTGCTCATAATCACAATATGGCTATTATAACTCCAGCCAACACATTGGTATTCCAGATAGCAAGAGGTGGGAAAGGGTGGTCCCTGTATCAGAAAAGCGAAGGCTGTTTTATGAATTCCCATCAGAATTTGGCTTAGGTCTCATTGACTTGGTCACCCCTCTTTGCAAGGAAATTGTGGAAGGCAAGTTTTTAGCTTTCCAAATTCAAAGGTAGAGGAAGGCAAGGGAAAAAGCATTGGGATAGGTGTTCACTGAAGCAGCCTTAGGTGTGGCCTTGTAATCAAAAGTATTTATTCTGTGAGTTTAGCGATTTGCATTTGCAGCGCAGTTCAGGTGCACCCCTTGTGCTTATACAATCCACCCTCTGAGTCAAGTCTTAGAGAAGCCCTCTGGTAGATGCCACAGATGTGTTTCAGGAGTTGCTGCAGGCCATTTGATGAGGCAGAGGTGGCACTGCACCATGCATTCAGATCTGCAGCCCCATCCCCACTGCAGGCAGTTCTCACTCCCCAGGCTGGGGTGTGGCACCATGGAATCTCATGAGTCTCTTGTCTCCAGGCCTGGCATCGGTGGAAGCCTACAGCTACAAGACCAACGAGTGGTTCTTTGTGGCCCCAATGAACACGAGGCGGAGCAGTGTGGGTGTGGGCGTTGTGGAGGGTAAGGAGGTAGTGGTGGGTGGTGGCCAGTCCCCAGCTGGGCCCTTGGGCTTTGGGGGTCCAGCATGGTGCTTGTTGCTTCCTCTGCTGTGTCTCCATTCTGCAGAACATTGCTCTGAGTTAGGCATTGTGATCCTGGTTTAATAGAGAGGTGAAGCTCCTGGCCTAAGGTTACGAAGTGGTTGAGTGGGTTGGGGAGGGTAGGAGTTACCTAGTGGGGGAAATGCCAACCTGCCATTTTCAGTAGCTCTGCTAAAGGTGGAGGAGGAACAGAAAGTAGGGGAGCCCAGAATCAGTGTAAAACCTAATATGGTGGGGTGAGAGTTGTTTGTATTTAATTAATTTTGCCCTCAATCTCACGTGTTGGACATTAGCAGAGCTGTGAATGAAGTAGGCACCTCTTCCCAGGTCTGATAACCATCTCTACAGGGTAGACTTGTTAAGTCTTACTCTAGTTAGGAAAGGTGTTGGGGTGAGGCAAGTGGGAATGGCGAAGTCTGGAACCTGATCAGATTATGCATAGTAAACCATCAGTCTCTCATTTTCTTCCCAAAACCCTTCTAAAGAAGATAGGTAGGACTCAGATTTTCTCCAGATGAGGAAACTGAGTCCCAGAGAGTTTATGATAATAGTAAATAGAATGGCCAGCCTCAAACCCAGGTCTTCTGAATCCTAACCCAGTGCTCTTTCACTGTGCTGTGCTCCTTCAGAACACTGGCAAATGCTCATAGGTAGGAGTTTTACAGACTTGTGTCAGCTTGATGTGCAATGCATAGAGTATTATTTGAAGTAAAACATTAGCATTCACAGGCCAACCCTGATTCATTAGCCTGGTAAAGGGCCTTAGCTAGAATATCTGTTTCATTTGCACAGGTGTACAGACATTCTCACTTTGATGTGCACACACAAGAACACACGCAGATGTGCTTTAGGCAAAGTGTGACATTGCAGTGAGTTGGAAATTAAAAGAAAGAGTCTTTTCTTTCGCTGTACTGGTTTTGTGTACTTACATTTTCATTGAAAAATATATTATTCTAACATGTTGAACAAGCCGTCTTGTCTCAGTGAGGGATTTTATCCTCCTACCAAGATAAATTATTTTTTGCAGTCTCATCCTCTTGGTGGAACAGAAATTGATTTGTCTGCCAAATGTAAGTGCTTTGTCTAGCCACCTTTCCATTTCCCCCCTTGTTCCTTGGCCAGGAATATCAAACAATAGAGGAGGGTTTAAAAATAGCAAATCCCTGCTAATAGAGTCAAGGAGAAACCTTGAGTGGGTCTTTTGTTTTAAGCCAATGCAGGGTTGGCATGGATAATGGAGGTTAGAGCAGATGCCTTAATGGTAGTGGTGAAATACTTTACTGACAAAGGGTTTTGTATGTTCAGCATGGAAGAAGTGTGGTCTTGTAGCAAGCCCTGTGAATATGGAGGACACTCAGGGAATTTGTTTCTCTTGCCCTCCTGAATCTGAAGCTTGCTGGGCTGTGGGTCCTTTTGGGGCAGAGGAGTCCAGTTTACAGCTTTGGTGAGAGTATCTAGGGAGGAAATGAGGGTAGCTCTGACTCTCTCTACCAGTCTGCTTTATTCTCCTCCGTCTCATCATCTCATTACCGTGGCTCTGAAGTTGCAATGACATCAGAAGCATATGGAGGAAATCAGGATAATTTTCACCTGGCTGCCTGGAAGAATCCTTGCTCATGGAAAAGGGCAATGAGAGTTGGAGTTCCAGCAGAAGCTCCCAGCAAAGCAAGAATGTGTGTCTCAGAGATGGTCACATTGAGCGGCAAACACAGGGCAAGTGGCCTGGACCCTGGAGAAGATGCTCAACTTCGTTTTGTTTTGCTTTGACACTGGGGAGTGCAGAAATGCAGGGGAGGTGTCTCTTCCAGAGGAGTCACCCGAGAGGTCTCTGGGGCAGAAAACAAAACCAGGCTCAGTGACAGTAGAAGAAGTAATTTTACATTTGCTGTATCAGTAGCCCTGATAGTAGACCACAATTTTGAGTCTAAGAATCATTTTAACTTAAAATAATCACATATTTTCAAATTCTAGTTGTGCTTTTGGAACTAGGAAAGCACATAATATCCAAAAACTGTTGATTAAGTAATCCTGTTAAATGGATTTGCATTTGGTGGAGTTTATTTAGCCTGCAGCTAGTGTGCAGGATCCTTGTTATTACTCCTGTTCCCCGACAGATCTGAGACCCACAGGTGAGGTAGTGCTTCTCTCCCTGCCTACTATAAAAGGAACTGTCCCATTATATTCTAAGACTAAATGTTGAACCCAAAATGTTTGAAACCCGGCCGTCAAACACCTCAAATACAGTACCAACTTTCTGCATCCTTGTTTGACCTCATTCCCTGCCCCTCAACCCCCGGTGGAAACGATGCTCTTAGATAGCAGCTTACTGCTATTTTTTATTTTCAAAAAGATGATGGTACTTCAGGGTGACTATGCGTAGCTCAGCAATCACAGGGTACCCTGAAGACAAATACTAGACATTTCAGCCTAGATTGTACACAGAATACCCTGTCCCCACGCTCTACCTGCCAGAGTCATGGGAGGAATGGGAAACAATGGCTAAGATTATATTTGGGTTCTCAATGAAGAATATTTTTTTCCCCATATTTATCCCATTACTATTGTGGGCCTTTAGCCAGGAAGTTGGCTGCCTGGTTATAGCTGAGAATTGTCTAGGTTTCTGTCTATCCAGTGCTGGTGCCTTGCGTTAGAGACATCTTAACCTAGATCACCAGCAAGAACATGTTGTGCCCCATGATTCCAGGTCACAGCTTTGCAGTGGGCATTTGAGTTTCTTATTCAGAAAGATTCAGAATGACTTTTATAGAGCTCATGGCTTACAAGCAGGCAGAAGGCAGGAATGTGAATGAAGGAGGCTTCCTCAGTTGGGGAATAGGTTGGTGACCCCTGGAGAAAGGGGGCCCAGAGCTGACTGAGGTAAGGATGCCCAGTGGGTTAAAGATGGAGCATCAGCCAAACTCCAGTTCTGTGCGAATGTTCCTGGCACCACCCTCAGCCGTGTTGTCTGTTACAGGGAAGCTGTATGCCGTCGGGGGTTACGATGGGGCTTCCCGCCAGTGCCTGAGCACAGTGGAGCAGTACAACCCGGCAACCAATGAGTGGACTTATGTGGCGGACATGAGCACGCGCCGCAGCGGTGCAGGTATGGTGCTGGGAGGCACCCAGCGCACAGGTTGTCTGTTTGGCTCACAGCTGTTCTTGAGCCCAACAACTTAACATTACACCTAATTTTACCTCCTTCATTTTTCCTTTTACTGTATCTAATCCCACAAGCACCTTTGCAGCTAGACCTAGCACTTCTTCATGAACCTTTCCCAAATGATCCCTCTGCTCTAGAATGAAAGGACCAGGGTTCTCTTTATCATCCCTTCTGTTTCTCTTTCTACATCTCTTGAAAGTGAAGGCTTACTATGAGCCAGGCACTGTCCCAATATATCATTTCTGTGTCTAAATATATTTAATCTTTACCTGAAAGGTAGGCACAAATATTAATTACACTTATCACATCTTGAAAGTAAGTCTACCAGGGGTTGAACAGTTTGCCTGTGGTTATGGAATTAGTAGCTGGCAGAGTGATGATTCTCTCTCCAAACTAGATTTTCTTTTCCATTACTGGGGACTGAACTCAGGACCCTGTGCTTGTGAGGCAGGCTCAGCTCCACTGAGCTAAATCCTCAGCCCTTGTTTTTTTTTTGTTTTTTTTTTTTGAGATGGGATCTCACTATGTAGTTCAGGCTAGCCTCGAACCCATGGGAATCCTCCTGCCTCATCCTCCCAAGTGCTGGGATTACACTTTAAAATCTCCAATTGATCAGAGTCTCATTCCTGTGAGGTAGTAGGACCAGCACGGCTGTCCCCAGCTTGAGGTGATACAGTTGAACTTGCCTATCTGAAGTTCCTGTCTGGGGGTTGAAAGCCAATCTACTAGTGTTCATATTTGGAAATAAACCTATGTTCCTCACCCCATATCTTAGCCCCCTCCTCATCAAGGAAAGGGAATGACCTTCCACTGGTTTTCCACTTCAGATTCTTGTGGGAAGACCAGGAGTTCAGTAGTGTTTGGGGATCTTTCAAGAGCTGCAGCAGTAGCCCCTGTTTCTCTGTTTTGTCTCCCCATCATCCCAGAGGCCCAAGGAAAGGGCCTGAGAGGGGAGGAGGAGTCCCTGGATGTGGTTCCTATGGGATGTGCTGACTGATACCCAGTGTGGGCAAGGGAGGTACGCTCAGAGTATTCTCACAGCGTTAGTCCTCTCTCTTGCAGTTTTGGATATTGAAGTTATGATTACATTTTATAATACCAAACATAGGACTACTTTCTCAGAACTCCTTAAAATTTATGCTATGTTCATATTTTGCCTGCCATTTAAAAAAAAAAAATCTATGATTCCCTGAATGCCCAGGGACCAAAGGCCCTCTCTTTTCGTTGCCATTTAAGAATCATCTCAGCTTGGAGTGCTGTCTTTTGGAAAGCTTGTCTCCATGGGTCTTGACCAGTTGGTCCTTCCTAAATGTGGAGCAAGTGCCAAGAAATCAGGAAACCCGTTCTTCAGTGCTGGATCTGTGCTAACTTTCCATGTGACCTTGGTGTGTCCCTTCCTCATTGCTGGCCTTGAATTCCTCAGATGCGATACAAGTGGGTTGCAGCAGATGTTCCAGAAGGGCCAGTTCAACTCAGAAATCCCTTGATTCTGGCCTTTCATAAAACTATAATTTTAGTTTCTAATGTTAGTAGAGTCTTATTTGTAATTCCTAAAAACCCTGGATTTTAACTTGAGGCCTGAGAGCAAATGTGCATGGTCTGGGCATGTAGGAGCAGCTCAGTAGGACTGGGGTTGTCACATGGAGCTCTGTGGCTGTTCCTCCCCAGCAGAAGTGTGGTGAGGCAGCCCAGGTGACCAGGACTTCCCAGCTGCCTTTGAACATCCAGGTGAACCTGTGCAGGTGGAGCTGCCTTTGGACACCACAGCTGCTTTGTCTCTGCAACTTGTTTAAGGCTGGTTGCTGGATAGATATCACTCAACCTGGTTCCTGCCTCTCCCCTAGGCTCGGACCAGACGGAGAGCCCTGGATTATGTAATCTTTGCTTCTGTGTCCCTGGGAGGTACAATGGCCTTGACTTAGGGAATGAGCTCTTTCTTCAGGTTACTGTCCGAGCCCTGGCCTCAGGCTTGGTCTACCTTTCTGTAGTACTTTACTTTCCTAAGATTTAAGGAAGTCTCACCTCTGGAGTTGGGAGCCTGTATACTAGTTGTGGTGGGTATTTTGTGTGCGGGTGTGTGTGTGTGTGTGTGTGTGTGTGTGTGTGTGTGTGTGTGTGTGTGTGTGTGTGTGTGTGTGTGTGTGTGTATGTGTGGCTGAATACCCTGGGACCAAAGGCCCTGTCTTCTGGCTGCCTTAGGCCCCTTGAGGTACCCAGAGCCCCTGTGGCTGTAGCCCAGAGCCTCTTCAGTTACAATTATGCATCAGGCTGCTGAGGGAAGTGGCAGAGTTGCCAGGATAGTGGTGGCCCAGAGTGCCTGGCTTTTTCAGCAGGGTGTGGGCAACATCCACCTATGGTGAGGAGGAAAATGGTCATCTCATGATTCCAGGGGTGCTAGTTCCTGCCCAGCCTGGGGAAAGGCAAGGTGAGGCAGCTTTGGAACCTACTTAGTAAATCTACACTGCTTCCCTAGTCATTGTTGATACGACAGCACCATCTGCTGTTAGTTCAAAGCAACTGCTAGCAACAAATGGTTTCTAGCAAATTGCTGGAGAGGATTTTATATATTTTGTCATTCTTAGAGTGCTGAGAACCTACCACTTCCAAGCACAGGGAAATAGACAAGGAAAAGACATAACAATTCTTGTCCATATGAAGTTTATATTCTGCAAATCCAGTCATTGGACCTGAAACCTGGCTGCACATCCCTATTTCCTAAGGAACTTTTTCAGGCTCCTGACCAGTGTCTGGGAGCAGCAGGGAGCTCCCTGCTGACAGATGCAGTCTGTCGTGGAGGAGATTAGTCCATGGGAACCACTGATCCATTCCAACTCCCTCCCTGTATGAGTGAGGAAACTGAGGCTCAAACAGGGAAAGAGCACCCAGCAGGGCCATCGAGGAGGCAGAACCCAGCTGTCCCAGCTGCCAGATCATTTGCTCTTTCTAGGTGCTGCCATCCTTCCGTATGACTTTTATCTCCTTGACTTGTCTTTATCTAAAACTTGTAAATGATGCCATTGTGGTGCTCCACTCGGGCTGACCAATACTGTGAATGCTGTAATTAATGCCCTTTACTGTCCAGGTGGAGAGAAGCGGGCAGGAAGAACAGCCTCTGCCTGCAAGACCAACAGAGAGGGCTCCCTAACAATGATCTCCTGCTGAGTGACTACTTCCAATTTTTAACTCTTTTTATTCAACCAATATAAGCCAAAGTCATACAACATTGTGGGAAAATGATGTGATATGATAGGCAAAAAGGAAAACAAATGTAATTTAATTGCCCAGGAATAATCACGTGTAATGTTTTGGTGTATTTCTTTCAGTCTTTTTTTTCTATCACTTACCAAACTCCCTCCCATACATGTGATATATATCTATCGATCCATATATGTATGTATATATGTATGTATGTATGTATTTTTAAAAGGATTTATTTGCTTTATATTTTGGCATTTGCAGGTTGCCAATCTTATGAGGAGGCAGGCAGGGTATTATTATGTTTGTTTTACAAATGAAGACACTGAGGTCCAGGGAGATAAAACTGAACTCCTCACGTCTCCCTGCTGGCAGTGGCTGTGCAGGACTGGACACCAGGCCTCCTGCTTTGTTTTTTTTTTTTTTTTTAACTAATTTTATTGGTACGTTTTAGGTTTACAATATAATGACATTCAGCATTACATATTTGCACCTTTACATAATCTCTCTTGGTTCTTATTTTTTCCCCATTACCCTGCCCTCCCTTCAAGCCCTCTATTCTTCCATATTTACAAAGATTTTGTTTCCATTATCTCATTTTCTCATATTAATTCCATTCCCTTCTTTCCTTTCCCCTACCTCACCCACTTCCGCTTCCCCCCTTTTCTTCCTATTTCACATTATCTATTATACCTTTTAGTCCTTATTTACACTTTCAGTTTCTCACACTAGAGAAACCATCTGATATTTACACGTGTGTGTCTTATTTATTTCATTTAAGAGTGTCACCTCAGTGTGCATCTATTTAGCTATAAATGTCTAATTTCATTTTTTATGGCTGAGTAGTACTCCATTTTATGAAAAAAACTCATTTTCTTTATCCAGTCTCCAGTTGATGGGCAATTGAGCTGCTTCCAAGTTTTAGCTATTACAAATTGTGCTGCTAT